ATCTCTCTCTCTCTCTCTCTCTCCCGGGCATGGGGACGCGTCACCGTCCCGGGGCAAAAATGCCCACCCGAACATATCTCTCTCTCTCTCTCTCTCTCTCGCGTGCCTTATTCGTAATAATTTCGCTGAATATAATAGTAACTATTATCAGATGCATATCATAGTTATATATATATATATATATAAAATTCTGAGATTTGAGATAGTATAACATTAATCTGATCCACCGATATATTCAACAAAATTATAGATATTAAGATTTATGATTTAAATAGAAAATGACATGCAATTCGTCCTAAGCAAACGAAAAAACAACAATATATAAGATACTCTAAATATACGCAAAATAAGCAGATCTAGATAATATTCCATGCTTATAAAAACTAATATATATATATATATACATATATATATATATTCGATATGTTTTGATTTTATTCGCACCCATAATCTATATAGGAAATCTCCAATAGTTACGTCAAAATATCTAATCATAATGATATAGAAATATGTATCTCGTATTCTATATAGAACTAAATTTACCAAAAACAATTACAGAACGAACATCGCAAGGACAGAGCGGGCACGGAAGTAGTGCAAAGAAAAAAATGCAACGACCCATTCTACAAATGTTTATTAAACAATTTTGCTTTCAACTTTAGTTCTATATAGGTGTCGCCGGATTCAAAAAATATCGTCGTGAGAACTTGAGATATGAAAATTTGTAGAACATATGTCTATAATCAGTATTCGTCATCTCGGATAGCATTCGACGTTTGAAAGGGCATTCAATTTCTTCTCCATCTCGGTACTGGGCCTGCTGCATGGGGGCTCCAAAGCCGGCCCGCAGGTCTGCAGACATCTTCTGAGTCATTCGGTGAATGTCAAACCAATCGAATCCACTCATGGTGGCGGCGTGCAGTGGTGCTGGCTCTTTCTTTTTGGAACGGCACTTCGGACTTAAGCTAACGACAACCTTGCAATGTGCTTTCGAGTGCCTGGGAAAGCGTATCAAGTCCCGGCACAAAGCTTACTGAGTCGCACCGCTGATCATAGTGCTGATCACATTCGACGACAGCATCTGCTCAGTTTAGGAAGCATTGTAGGCAAGCCTCAGCCGAGCACGTTCAGGTGGTCACAAAACCTCACCTGTCTCCTTCCAAGCCCCACTTGATGAAATCTGAAGTGAGCACAACCACGGACTCTTTAGATGGACTTGTTCTATGTGCTTTCGTACGTATCCAAAGGACAATGTGTGACGCTGCCCGGCACACCGACAGACTCACACACGAAAGGCTGCATTTCGAACACTGGCCGGAGACACGAAAAAAAACATAACGAACACGAACACTTTAAAAACTCCGTCCGTCGCCAAGAGTCGTTGTGACAAGTACGACCCGTGGAAGTGAATGCTCTACAATACAGTAGCTATCATTAATTGCCTCCAAGAAGCGGAGCCAGCTCGGTCTCTCTCGCAGAGTTGGGGTCCGGAATCTCCACCTGTTGCGACAACATGACTGATAGCTCAAGAAGTGCCACAAGCTACGCAAGGCGGCCTGAATCTGCTGGCCCTCGACAACTCCAACAGGAACCGTGACTTCAAACCTTGGTTGAACTCTCCAACCGCAAGAACATGACCAGCTGAGGCCACACTTGCATGGCCTGAATCTGCAACACATCATGTGCCATAGACCTGTTCCAGCTGGGTCTTCGCCGAACTGAGGTTATGGCTGTCCACCCAAGGGGCTTGTAACCTGGAACGCATCTCCAGCCTTAGCTTCCGAACGGCCCATATGCAGTGCACAGCGGAAGACATCAGAAACACATCAGACCACAAGTTGAGCAAGCAGCCAAAGGGAAAGTACAGCAAAAACAAAAAACAGTTTATATGCGGCAACTAACTTAAACGCCGAGCAGAAATATCAAGCAAGGGTTCGTGCAGCATTCAAACAAGATCTCCGCAAATATATCGAAAAGAAGAAGCTGCGTCCGACTGGGGACCGATGCTCGCTCAGGCACAGGATTTGTAGAGAATTGGCAAGATTGGATGTGAGATGAGTGCGATGCAAACGATGTTGGATTGACCTTCGCCTTTCTGAATGTACCGTCAAGTGTTTCTGGAATCGCAGCACCAGCCCCCATTCAAATCCAGACAAAGCCGGCTACAACTATAGTAATTAAATGCGTTTCAGCGTGAATTTGGAATTTACAAGTTCGTTCAGCCTCATGTGGAACGCTGTTTACTTCGCTTGAAAATGCGTCTAAAATGCTAGCCGAGCTATACAAACCTGCCATGACTGACAATAGCGCTCTTTTGTGTTCTGGTAGTGTTTCCTGCAGTTGGCTCCTGCGCGCCGCGGGAAAAAGGAGTCTGCACAATGTCAAGCAGACCGGAATCCCCACACCCCTTACGACCACCGCGAAAACAGATCTGTCGTACAATTACAAATTAGTCTTTCAAGATTGTTCTGCTCTTGCCAGACGGCTCTCGGTATTTGCCGAGGCGTGCGTGTTGGAAACATGTTATTTTCTGAAATCAGCTTCCGTGTGTCTCCGAAGTCGCTTTGCTGACATCGCCTGCTGTTTTCTCAAGTTACATTCTACATACCTTAGAGATCCTTTAGAGTCTGTGTAAGGGTGTCAACATGTTTTCAACAAGAGAAGAACAGCGCACGTAAACACATGATTGACACGACGCCAGGCCTGCCTGCCTAGCACACACGTGTGGAAAATCATCCAAGGGACTCGCAAACCCGCTGGCACGGTGACTTGGACGTAGTTGCGGGAAGGTCGGCGCGGCGCAGGTGCGTTCAAATCTGGGATTGCTGCACCTCACAGGTTCGGACTAGGTGCTATTTCTACAATGACTGGAGGTTCGTGAAATGAGCCATCAATACTGTTGAGACTTGAAGGAACGACATCGGTCACAGTCGCTCTTTCTTCTTTCCCTAGACATGGGGGGGCATGTCGCGGCTTCTCTTCCGTTGATGTTGTGTGTTTTGGTGATGATGTGACAATTTCACATACTCAGCCTGACTTTCACTGGCACCCGTTCCGAATGCGAATGCCACATTCAAAAGTTATTGCTACATGCGTCGTGCTCGCCCTTGCGGAGCAGCGAGAAAAGTGGCCCTGCAGAAGTGGACCCCTGGTAGGCGCCCGTACACCCCAAGGCGACCGCCTTGGCCCAACCGACTCACGGACTCACACTCATGCTTCAGCCTCGGGCTTGAAGGTTGTCCCTGACATGTCAGTACGGAATCTCGGTCTTGTCTTACTCTTCTTCTTCTTCTTCAGGTCCAACTTGCTACGCTGAGATGAAATGATTGGCGCGAGCGAGCAAACTTGTCGCGATACAGACAAACCTATGCGATGCCGAAGCAAGCCATCGAAATGGGCCACACAAGTGCTGCAAATTTCTAGTGCGCCAGGGCATAACCGCAAGAGAATCTGAAGCGCGAGACATGTGCGCAACATGAAGTAAGCAGCGGCACGTCATCACACATCTTTGTAGCATGTAGGAGCACTTCAAGCCTCACACCTTGTGGATGCGTGAGTGGACTTCCTCGCCCCCAGCCATGTCAGCAATGCACACACTTCAACAACGGTCTGAAGCAAGGTCCGGTGCCCTAAAGTGTTGTGCGAGCCTGAACCAAAGAGGGATGTCATCTTTGCCTGGCTTGGCGGGTACTGGATGCCTTCCTTGTTCAGAATCAAATCATACTTGATCCCCAGCTTGATCACCTCAATGATGAGATTCTCCTTCGGAAAGCGATGCAAAAGGTTTGGCTACCCGTCCGAAGTAATTTCAGTATCATAAGAGCAGTCATCAACATCGAAGTCACAATCAGCAGCACCGTCACCAAAGTTGGTGGGACATGGCCTGCATCATCCTCACAGTCAGCCGTCGTAGTAGTCGTAGTAGCAGTAGCAGCAGTAGTAGTAGCAGTAGTAGTAGTAGTAGTAGTCGTCGTACAGGTACAAGCACAAGTCCAAGTTCCGGTGCTAACAGTAGAAGTAGAAGAGGCAACAGGCACAGCACAAAGCAAAACAGCAAAGCGAGCCAAGGAGGAGGACGAGTAGTAGTAGCAGTAGCAGTAGCAGTAGCAGTAGCAGTAGCAGTAGTAGTAGCAGTAGTAGCAGTAGTAGTAGTAGTAGTAGTAGTAGTAGCGGCAGCATTATTTGTCGTAGTCGTGGTGGTACTGCTGGTGACGGTGGCGGTGGCGGTGGTGGCAGTAGCAGTGGCAGTAGTATCAGTCGTACTGTGGCACAGTAGTCGTAGTCGTGGTAGTGGTAGTCGT